TCCACTTAGGCAACGTCTAGACTACAAGCCTCTTTCGAAAAAGAGCATCTAGACTGCAACCAGTACTCTCAAAAAAGCAATCCACTTTTTCAAAAGAAAACACCCAGGCAGCCTGGATGCTCTCTTTCGAAAAAGCACAGTTTGCATTACATAGTGCCTTTTTTTGAAAGAGCACTTTTGAAAAAAGGTGTTATTACTCGTGAAATGAGGAATACTGTCGTCGAAAGAAAAGCCACATTCTTTCAATTTAATTTCAAAAGAATGCGGCTGTAGTCTAGATGCAGGTGAAGTTTTTTCGAAAAAAGACTACTTTTTTCGAAAAAACCCTGCAGTCTAGACACAGCCATAGGAAGGAACAATCAGTTTCACACATACAGAATGGGAAGCGACTGTCTAGAAAGGAGATCTAGGGGTCATAATGGACCACAACCTAAATATGAGTCAACAGTGTGACACTGTTGCAAACAAAGCAAACATAATTCTGGGATGCATTTAAGGAGTGTTGTGAGGAAGACATGAGAAGTCATTCTTCTGTTCTACTCTGAACTGATTAGGCTTCAATTGGAGTATTGTGTCTAGTTCTGGTCATCACATTTTAAGAAAGATGTGGAGAAATTGGAGAAGGTCCAGAGAAGAGCAATAAAAAATGAATAAATGTCTAGAAAACATGAGCTGAGGCAAGGCTGAAGAAACCGGGCTTGTTTAGTTTGGAAAAGAGAAGCTTGAAAGGGGACATGATAGCAGTTTTCAAGTATCTAAAAGGTGCCACAGGAAGGAGACGGGAAAAGTATTCTCCTTGGCCTTTGATGATAGTATAGGAAGTCATGGACTTAAGCTGCAGCAAGGGAGATTTAAGTTGGACACTAGGAAAAACTTCCTAACTGTCAGGGTTGTTAAACACTGGAATAAATTGCCCAGGGAGGTTGTGGATTCTCCATCATATTTAAGAGTAGTTTAGACAGATATCTGTCAGGGATGACATAGACTGTGCTTGGTCCTGCCACGAGGGCAGGGGACTGGACTTGATGATCTCCCAAGGTCCCTTTCCGTTTTAGTATTCTATAATTCTATGTTTCTAAGACAAGATATACCAGACTAACAAAACTGCAGTTAAGATAGCAGGAAAAAAAACCAAAAAATTCCAAGATTTCACAGTTAAATTATTTATGCAACATCTGGATGTTTTAATAAATTAAGCCTTTGATTTTTCTTATGAAGAAAATTTCTTAATGTCATTTACATTCCACCTCTTTAATCTTTCTTGGATCCAAACCATTATTAAGGGGGAAAGAAACCCCTTCCTCCTGCTGTTTTGGTCAATGAGCTGTTACCTTTCTAATCTATGAAACTTTTCACGTTATGCAATTCAGATTTCAACCGAGAAAGGGTCTCTGTTTTGTTAGTCCTCTATATCTTTCTCAGCATTCTTTAGAGTGGAAAAATGTCTTAATATCCCTTTCTAGTTAAAAATATATATAGGAAAATTTCTTCTCCACTTCTAGCTGCAGGATAAAAGGTCTTCCTCTGGGTATTCTGAGTCTCTTAATTATGCTCCAGAATTTTTCTTTTTTTGCTGCTCAAATTAATTTTTCTTTCAAACAATTAGAGACAGCATGGTATCCAAGGCCTAGTGTACACTAGCACATTTTGGTGACCAAAAAAAAAATGAAAACATTTACACTACAATATGACTTTTGTTAGGAAAAACACCCAGTTTTGGCAACAAAAATCTTCTGCACCTGCGAGAGAATTTTGTCTTTTCCCCTCTTTTTATTATTGACAATATGGACTCCACTGTTTGTTTTGTGTGGAGATCTGGCTTCTTCCAGTATCCCACAATGTCTGCTCTGATGGGCGTGCTCAGTGTTTTGTGTTTTCTGTTGCCTTGCAGGCATGTGCCCCTCCCCTTTCAAAGCTCCGGGAAGTATCTGACAGCTGAATAAACTGCTCCTTTTGAGGAACAAAAAACAAATCATTGGAATGCTTCTGTTCTGCTCTGCACTAGAAACTCAGAGGCAGGCAAACTGCTGCTGCAGGGGGAGGACTGGAGAGATTGCTGTGCTGCTTTGACATTCCTTTGCATGGAGAATTCACAGGGCTATGAGGGAATCCCAAGAAGCGCAGAGATCAGGTCTGTCTTTCCACACCTCTGTCTTTCCACTGTATTGTGGGATGCTTAACCACATTCCTTTGCTCTTATCTGTCACCAGGGTGCTAGCAGCATGGACATGAAATGTCAACAATGAAAGGCAGAAAAACTGGTTTGGCTGGTTTCCACTTTTAGCAACTTTTGCATGTCGATAGCACTTTGGTAACCAAACCTTCCCAGTGTAGACATAGCCCAAGAAAATGTTCAAACACTGGAGGAACCCAATTCTACACCATGATTATGTCTAGACTGCACTGTTTTTCTGGGATATCGACTTACTCTTGCAGAGTAGACCAAGCCTATCTGTCTGGAGCCCTGCTAATTTTATGGAGGTCAGTGATGATGCAGCAATTCATCTAAGCACCTCATGTTGCAAGGGGCCTTATCTCAACAGAATATATTTTCAGTATTCACCTTTAAATCAAGAAATTGAGATGAACACTCTTCTTTTGTATAGTATCATGGAAGTTTCAGTGACCATAGATGCTCCTGAACTTAGTTTCTTATATCTTACAGAAGACACATCCAGAAGCGCAGAAGGGCACTTTTTGAGTAGTGCACAAGTAGGAAGACAGCCAAGTTCTCTAATGTGGACTACCACTTACTGACCAGGTCTTAATCCACTTCATGTATTGGTTGTGAGTAGAGTACAGCCTAAGAAAACATAGCTAAAATAAACAGTTTAAAGTATATTTATATAAAATAATATAATTACTGCAGTGCACATATGATATAATATTTTTTCTTATTTAAAATTTTAGTTGTGTTGTACTTCAGAGTACAGTAGTTTTTCAGAGCCACTGTTTAAGATGGTGTTATTTGCCTTTGAGTAGATAATGAATTGTCTGTGTCAGCAGATGTTTTTTCTTTATTTTTGGACAACTCTCTTTGTAGTTCTGTTTATAGGGAGAGAAATAATTTGCACCTATAAAGCTATGTCTGCATTACGGAGTTTTTCCGGGATACCTGAAGTATCCCGGAAAAACTGTCACGTTCGGGGAATGCATCTGCTCTCCAAAAAATGTTTCGGAAAAGCAGATGCACTCTTTTGGAAGCCCTGTATTCCTCATTTTATGAGGAAGAAGAGTTCTTCCAAAAGAAGAGGTTTTTCCAAAATTTGGCCCCATATAGACGGGCCAAATTTCAGAAAAGCCTCTTCCGAAAACAATCAGAAAAAGGTACACAAATTGTGGAGTACAATTTGCGTACCTTTTTCTGAAAAAAAAAGCATCAGTCTAGACGTAGCCTAAGTGTGTCATTTCAAACTATTGCTTTTTTTTTTTTTTTTTTTTTTTTTTTTGGTTGGTCTTTTACAAATTGTGAGAAGAAACTTGAAAGGACTTAGAAAGAGTCACTGAAAACTTTTTCTTTCCAATTCCTGGCCTTTTTCAAGCTTAAAAAAGAACTAAATATGTTCAGAGGATAAGTCCATTGATGGCTATTAGCCAGAATGGGCAGGGATGCAAAACCATGCTCTGAAATGCCCCTAACCTCTGTTTGCCAGAAATTGGAAATGGATGACAAGGTGGGTCACTTGATAATTACTTCTTGTATTCATTCCCTCTAAAGCATCTAGCATTGGCCATTGTCAGAAAACAGGATACTGAGCTAGATGGACCATTGGTCTGACCCAGTATGGTCATTCTTACATCCAATGTGAAATTCTTTTAATTTGGAAGCACTGGATTTCATTTGCCATCATTTTGCCCATTCAGATACTTTGGTTAGGTCCTGGTGTAGTTCCTTCTAATGTTCCTGATACTTTGAGCTAGAGCTGTTATTTTCAGCTCAAATCACTATACTTGTGCTAGCTCTTATTGAGCTAGCGCACTAAAAATAGAGTATAGTTGCAGAAGCAGGAGCAGAGGGAAGAGCTAGCTGTCACAAGTATGCATGAATCCAAGGTATTAGGTTACATTCTATTTTTAGCACTCTAGCTTGATCAGATCTAATGCAAGTATGTTCCCTAAAGCTGCAATTTACACCTCCAGTGGTAGATATACCCATAGCGTTCTCGGGTCTTGGCTGAGCTAAATAATTGTGGGTGATTTGTAAATTTTGCCATTTCACTTCTTTTCCAATAATTAATTAAGCAATACTGTTCCCTGTACGGATCTTTGTGTCACTTTGATCTTCACCTTTTTCCATGATGCAAATTGGCCATTTATTCCTGCTCTTCGTTTTCTGTCTCAGCCACTTTCTAATCCATCACAGTAAATTGCCTCTCAACCCATGACTACTTAGTTTCTTTAGCAGTCTCTTTTGGGAGACTTTGTCAAAGGTGATTTGAAAGTCTAAATAAATTATATCAACCGGTTCCCATTTCCCTGGGATATGTTGTATTTGTTTTCTTGATGTTTGTAAAGAATTCTAATAGATTAGTGACACACTATCTTCCTTTGCAAAGTCTTGCTTATTAAACCCTATAATATCATGATCTTGTAGATACTGTATAATTTTGTTTTTAATTATCACTTTCATCAATTCACCAGCTCTGATTCTAGAGAGAGGAATTATTCCAAAGAAAAAAATCATATTCAGAGGATATTAAAATGTATTTGGAAAGGAAATCTTGTGGGTTTTCAGGCAGTGAATGATTTTCATGACTTTTGGAAGTTTATTGCATTTATATGGTGAACTTTTTCACTGTGAATAACTCACATAACCAAAGTAACTGGAGGTCTCCACTTCAGAGAATTGCATGGTAGTTATGTGGAGTTCACTGTCACTACAAGTGTGGAATTCTCCTGACACCCCATTTGGCAGAAAGGTTCTTTGGTTAACAGTGAAATGATCCATGATGCTGAGCTGTAGGTCTCTATTTTTATTGCATTCTCTGCTTATTTTGTAGGTCTTCACTGGGACCTGTGGAGTTTTTGCTAAGCACATGGGCAGCACACAGACTCCCTGCCTAGTGACTGCAGGGATGGGCCTCCCACTTCTAGGAGCACACTGGAACTAGGGCAGGTAGGGAGCTTCCGTTAGCACTACCGGATTTTTAGAAACTGATCTCCCATTGTGGCTTAAGGAGACTCCAGGAGATTGAGCCCAGTGCTGGGAAACTTCCAGTGAAAACAGGAGGGTTGGCAACCCTTCCTATAAGTAGCCTGAATAACGAAAGAGGCAAAGATGAATAGGACAATGATAGGTTAATATTTGACAGAAAACATAAACAACCATAAAAAATTAAAAACAATACTTGCCTCTTTGAACGGGAAAGGCCTTGATTCTTCATACACTTAAGCATATGTTTAAATTTACTCAAGTGAGAAATCCCATTGACTTCAGTAGAACAATTTATATGAATAAAATTAACATGTGTTTAGCATACAGGTATAAATAACTGTGCTTTATGATCTTCCTGACAGTCAAAGGATACCAACAATTTATGACCTCGGCAGCAAAATGACTGTAAAAATGCAAAAGGGCTAAAATCCCCTAAAAGCTGTAGACAAAACTCTAAAGAGTAGGTATGTGAATCTACATGTAAGATACAGCTCCTAAGTCCACTCAGACATTAATGGAATCCACACACATTTTGTTTTTGGCATTATCCAGAAATATCCACCAATTAATCTTTTGGATATATAGGTTAGTGCACATGAGGAGTATTGTAAAATTCATCAGCAACTAGTTCCACCCTGCATCATTTTAAAGCTATTTTCGATAACAGCAGAAACAGGATTCTGATGTGAAGTTATGTAAGGCAGAGAGCGTACAGTATATTTTCCACTTAACTTTGAACTTTCATTAATCTGTAGATATTTTTCAATCATTGATGTTACCGATGGCCTCTTTGCTTAATACAGTTTTCATGTGTGCCCCTTTCTTCCGCATAAATATAATTTTATGTGCGTATGCATTTGAACAGAAATATTGTTTACATTAAATGTGATAATAAAATCATTCAAGACTGTTTTAATGTTATTTTTAACAAGTACTAAGACATAATCTAAAACCAAACTAAGTAATTGCTCAAAATAATTTGTCCAAGTAACATCTTTCACTTATTCTTGATAGAATTATGGCAAACCCTTATGATTTAAGCAATACATGCCAAGAGCTAAAATTCTAAAGTTATTTATGGATTCTATCCATATTTGTGAATTTAGCATGCAGGTTGTGTTTGAAGAAAACACAGTTTGAATAATCTGATTCTATACCTTTTAAAGAACATATATTTGTGAGTAAAGATTTAATGTCAGACTCTTTGAGGAAACCAAATTGCTATGGCAGCAGACCACAGGAGGAAAATCAATTAAAATAATTACATTACTTTTGGCAACTTACTGCTACCATTTATGAGCAAAATGGTCAATTATATTTTCAACACTGGTCACACAAACCCAATGACATCTATAAATGCAACAAGAGTTCTAATCCTCAAGCCAGCTACAGTTTTGACCAAAGAAGAAAATTCAACTGTGAGTTGTTTTCTTTATTTTCCTTATTTTTTTAAAGTATCAGTTGAGCTGTGTACTGAGCTGATATGAGTGTGTCTTTTGACTTTTGATTTGCTATTCATATGAATATAAATAAATATGATGAATGCTTCTAAAAAGATGAATATATTGTGAGATGCGCTTTCAGTTTGTTTTCTTCCACATTTCTTCTTTATGTCTCTTTTTTATTTGTTATGTATAATGCTGCATCTAAGTTAGAGGCAAGGTACATGAAGTAATCTCTTATTCACTCAACTTCTTTAGTGAGAAAGGCAAGCTGTCAAGAAGTTAGTCCGATTCAAGAGATTACCTCACCCACTTCATCTTTCTAGTATCCTGGGAACAACACAGCTACAATCACTTTAAATGGTAAGTCCTTTTTCTGGTTTATTTTCCTAACCACACAACTGCAGGTCTTTCCACTTATTTTCCCCTCTTACTGGAATTGAATGGAATTCCTTTCTGGCATACTGGCACCTATTTCCTGGGGCGACTTGGCCACGCGGCTTTTTTTTTTTTTTGGCTCGATAATTTTTCTTTAAAAAAAAGCATTGTATAAGCCTATTGATTTTTAAAAGCCCTCTAATAATAATGCCAACAAATATAGCCTCTGTTGATACCCCAATATGTCTTTCTCTCTTCCCCTAGAAGCTGGCAGAAGACTTGCCTATTTAAAGGCTAAGATTTTAATGATTTTAGTGAAGGCTGAGTGTATTGCACCCCTACTTTTATGTATATAAATATCATAATCATATATGCAAATCTGCATGCAAAAATGATCCTAAATACAGAATGCTTTATGCAATTGTGAGCCTGTTTATTCATTGAAATACCACAATGTTCCATTCAAATGGAAATTTGGTGCACAAAAACTTCATTTTATCAAGCAACTATGATCACTATAGAGCTAAATACATGCCCAGTTTGGACCTATGTATGTATTGCCATCAATGTTCCCTCTAATCTCTTCCTTGTATGTGGGGAACTCTTCCATCCATATGCAGAATAAATGTTTTATGTGCATGGAAGCATATGCAAATATGCATAGTAGAAACAAAAATCCTAGCTGTGGGTGTCAGCCGGTGGCCGGGGTAGCGAGTGGTCTGTGAGTCCTAATACACCCGAGTCTTTGACTGCTAGGATGAAGGTCCCTTTGCAGCAGGCAGCCAGGAAGGCTGATGGGTGCCCCAAGGTGGTGCAGAGAGTGAGCTAGTTACACCCGAGTCTTTGACTGCTAGGACAAGAGTCCCTTCGCAACAGGCAGCCAGGGAGGCTGACGGGTGCCCCAAGAGTCTGCCCATGGAGGCAACACGACTCAACATTTAGCTCTTACTGAGTTTACCCCTGACCGGCTATGATTCTTTTAATTGTGTCTGGTTCTGTTACAGCAACAGAAGGAGTCAGGTTAAAGCTTAAACAGTTACAGGTTTATTAGAGAAACTTATAATCATACGGTTACAACGGCTATTGCTCTACTTCTTAACTGCTAGCAAATACAGACCTTAAATGGTTACAAAGGAAAGGAGGAAAAACAAAACACACCAGTTGTATAAGCTTACAACGTAGCCTTATATAGAACTCTAATGCTATACGTGCACAATGACAAGAAGAAAAAGGACACATACAGGTACAATTTTTACTCCCTTCTGCATCTCTCAATTCCAGCGTGTCAGGCCAGGATCGGTCACTCAATTCCTCGGAAAGACGAATATGAGGCTGGGCATCCCCATGTGGACCTCGGGAGTCAATCACCTAGCCCAGCCAGCAGGCAGCTGATGGATTGATACTCAAAATGAGCTTGCTGCTGGGCCCATCATCTTTATACCCGTGGGGTCACTTATTCTCTTTCTTATCTAAGGTGCCAAATTGTGCTGGTTCGTCTTTGTGACGCCAGTTCTTACAAGGGAGTTGGGAATGTAATTTACATTTGTAAGAGAGAGATAACTAAATTGGGAGTACGGGACATTCTTTACTCAGCAGGAGATTCCTCTCCCGGGATGGTTGTGTGATCGTATCAATATCGGTGCTAGCCAAGGACAGTTTGTGCAGCCTCTTGATCACCCTCTTATCTATGTTTACAGTTATCCAGGGTCGCGATGAGCCAACATATCCGGGCATCAAAGACTATGCTGATTTTATTGCTCTCTGTGCCCTGTGTGCTGTGAGGCATCTTAGAGGGGCAAGCAAGATGGATGTGGCAGGGGGTTCTTGTCTGGCTACATTGGGCACTTTGATAATCAGCTGGGAAGCGCTTGAATCTCTCCTGAGTGGCCTCACAGCTGCATGACTTATAGGAAACACTGATTGCCACACTTCTCTGCTGTTGGGAGTGACTGCACTGCCTTCAGAGATGGGCACCTGGCCAGCAGTCGCTGTGCTCCACAGTCCACTTTGCATTTAGAACTTAATGGCTAGACTCCTACTGATATGTCTGGAGGAATCAACTTCATTCATTATTATGAATAAAATGTATGCAGTTAGTTTTTTCCCCTAAAACTTCTCTCACACTCCCAGAATACATTTTGCTCCCTCGCCCTCCCGCAATTTGAGAATCTCTAAGATTGGGGTAAGGTATTGTGCTGCTGTTGTAACTTCCAAGCTCAAGCATAAGATCTTTGAGACATATTTAGCAAAACTCATTTATAATATTACAGTAGCATATATGGTGTCAGCACTATATAAATGATAATCACTAGCATTACCTGTCCCATTATGATGGTAGACGTACACTCAAGTTGGCCTGGTGTGGAGTTGCAACTTTAGTTTCAAGAGTTGTGTTCAAGAGTTGTGTTCTATGCTAGGCGGTGCTTCCATAGACAGAATAAATTTTGCCATGTGCACTGAGCCATGGGTGGATGTGCACAGGGGCAGCCTGTGGATGTAGGCAACCTCGGCAGTTGCCTAGGGCACCGCGTTTAACGTGGTGTCCAATGATGACATCATGCCATTGAGGGCTATGGAGGCGCCAGTCGTGCATTCCGCCTAGGGCGCCAGTTGCCGGCAGCTCTCCTCGAGCCGCACACTTCCTGTTTCGAATCAGCGTGATTCAAACTAGCGCGCCAGCGAGATCATGTTAATGAAGCGCAGGATATTTAAATCCCCACTTCATTAGCAATTTCGGTCACCTACATTTGCGTCCCTATCTCAAGATAGGGAGCAAGTGTAGATGTACCCTAAGAGACATGCTCTAGGGAGCAAAAAGGGTGAAATATGGGAGTGACAGGTGCAGATTGGACATGCCTCCCAGTCCTGAGCAGGGTCCTCTCCCCAGCCACATGAGAACACCCTTAAAATAGCACTGCTATTGTTGATGCTTGCTTGCAGTTAATAAGGTATCAGCATTATCAGTTTTCTAACTTGTATAGATTTGTGTGGGTTATAGGAATATGTGAGTGTGTGTGTGTGTGTGTGTGTGTGTGTATGTCAATCTATAGCAGCTTTAACATTTTTTATTTATGATCATTTTACGCAGGTAGTGTAATGAACTCACTAATGTGAATGACTGACTGCTACAAACTTCTGGAAGAGTTCAGAACTGCTTATTTGTGTACTGCTGACTCTAGCAGTATTTCTTCTGTACCTCAAGTGGTAGGATTATGTGCTTCCAGGGGAAGAAAATCTGAATACAAAACCTGTTGCTATGAAGTTTCAAGTGTTCCTGGTAATAGATTGTAGATCTGGGCATGTGAGGTTAGAAATGGTATAACTTGAGAGCAGAATTTAGCCTTTTGTTTAGGGAATTCTCACCAAGAGAAATACATGTGAAGTTAATATTCTTATTTAGGGAAGAAAATCATATTACAAAAATTAAAGTTCTTTTTAAGAGCTAACAACTAGGGCTGACTAGAAAAAACTGTAACAACTCATTTTCTATTGGAATATGCATTTTTGCAACACTGAAGTGCTTTGTAAAATTATGAAAGAGATGGAGAAAATGAATAAAGTCTGTTTAAAAAAATTCAGAATTAGGCATTTTGATTTTTCTTTCAGAAGTAACTCTTTGGGTTGTTGAATTTTGTATTCATAAAATGAAAGGTAAAAATTAAAACAGACTTATTCAAATTTGTCAAAACAAAATCAAGCTGAAATAATTGTTTTGAAATAATCATTCACAGAAAATTTCAGAAACTGGAGGGTTCTATTCTAAGTCAGGAGCTAACCAAGGGTCATGTGCAGTTTGACTTGCTGCTCACAAACAGGGAGAAACTAGTAAGGCAAGTAGAGGTAGGTGACAGCCTGGGAAGCAGTGATCATGAGATGGTAGATTTCAGCGTCCTGACCAAAGGAAGAAAGGAGAGTAGCAAAATACACACCCTGGACTTCAGAAAAGCAGACTTTGACTCCCTGAGAGTCAAAGAGGGGTAGGATTCCCTGGGATGCTTACATGAAAGGGAAAGGAGTCCAGGAGAGTTGGCAGTATTTTAAGGAAGCCTTCTTAAAGACACAGGAAGAAACCATCCCGATACGTAGCAAGAAAAGCAAATATGGTAAGCGACCAGATTGGCTTACTGGGGACATCCTTGGTGAACTTAAACACAAAAAGGAAGCTTACAAAAAGTGGAAACTTGGACAGATGACTAGGGAGGAGTATGAATATAGTGATTGAGAATGCAGGGGAGTTATCAGGAAGGCGAAAGCACAGTTGGAATTGCAGCTACCAGGGGATGTGAAGGATAACAAGAAAGGTTTCTACAGGCATGTTAGCAATAAGAGGTTTAGCAGAGAGGGTGTGGGGCCCCAGACAAATGCACCAGGCAATGCAATATGGGAAGGAGGTGGACAGTCCTTGTTGGGGAAAGAACAAGTTAGGAACTATTTAGAAAAGCTAAACATACACAAATCCATGGGCCCAGATTTAATTTAAATCGCTGCTTCATTTTCCTATGCTGGGTAGCCTAATCTACATGCCACTGTCCCCAGAAGCATGTAGTCTAGACATACCCTAAGATGGATAGAAAGCTGGCTAGACTGTTGGGCCCAACTGGTAGTGATCAACAGCTCAATGTCAGGATGGCAGTCGGTTTCTAGCAGAGTACCCCAAAGATGTGTTCTTGGACCAGTTTTGTTTAACATCTTTATTAATGACCTGGATGAGGGGATGGATTGCACCCTCAGCAAGTTCGCAGATGACAGTAAGCTGGGGGAGAGGTAGATACACTGGAGGGCAGGGATAGGGTCCAGAGTGACCTAGACAGATTAGAGGATTGGGCCAAAAGAGATCTGATGAGGTTCAACAAGGACAAGTGTAGAGGCCTGCACTTGGGATGGAAGCATCCCAAGCATCGTCACAGGCTGGGGACCAAATGGCTAAGTATCAGTTCTGCAGAAAAGGACCTGGGCATTACAGTGGATGAGAAGCTGGATATGAGTCAACAGTGTGCCCTTGTAGCCAAGAAGGCTAATGGCATATTGGGGTACA